ATCATCATGTTATAATATGTATACTCATTTAATTACCACACCTTGTCGATCTTTAATGTTTTACCCATGTGATTCCCATTAGTTAATATTGCATGGTTGTGGATGGACCCACTTCTTTGTCCTATCTGCTATCCCGTTAACTCTCGGTTTTTTTAGTGTGCTTGTTGCCAATAACCACAGAATTGAGCATTATAAGTGAGCAGACTTGGGTTGTCTGTGGAGTTAGATTGTGTAATGTTATTGTTGCTAAGAGTTTAGGGACTTTCTTAAGTTTTTTGTTATCTCAATCTACTTGCTGTTTTTTGTGATAACATAGCTTGTTTATAATAACAACAACAACAACAACTTGTGCACCAACTTTTCACTGTAAACTTCAAGTAATTAATTTTCTTTAGTATTGATGATTATAGCTTCCTATATATTGGTTGAGGTTAATGCGACTTCGGTTGGTCATGCTGAGCCTATTTGTAATATGTTTGGTGTTTAATTCAGGAATATGTTGCATGTCGCATTTTCTGGCATGATTTTGTTTGATCTTATGGCACTTGGTTGGATTTTAGATATTTCAATCTATTCTTACAATGTTACTACCCACCCGGTTTAACTTTTCCAGTGATATGCATTTGATAGTGCTACCTATTTGTGGCTTTGGGGTTTGGACACTTGATACGAGCTAGGTATTCTTTATATGTTAATATTTTGTAATAATAACTTCTTTATCCTGGGATGGTAACTTCATGCTTTTGTTCTCTTTCTCGTGAACTTTGTACACCGGATTCATCTCTCTTGTGCTTTGTACACCGTGCATGGTGCGGCCAACCGGCAAAACCGGCCGTGCATGGGCCGGCCAACCGGCAAAAAGAAGGCCGGCATTCGAGGCCGGCCGGCCCAAAAAAAAAAAAAAATTATTTTTAGCCGGTTTGACCGGTCGGCCGCCGCATGACCGGTCTTGTTGGAAAGCATTTTTTCGCCGGAATTATTCAGAGGTGTTTTCGGAATTTTTCGAGGCTCGGTTTGGCCGGTAAATAGTTTTAAAGAGGGACATCTCCTCTTTTTTAAAAAAATGAATAAAGGGCAAATTAGTCTTTTTGGGGGGCGGTATTAAGTAAAAATGGGCGGTAAATAGCGTTTCACTAATGTTACCCAATAGTTATTGTTATTTATCCGTTGAGAGTATCAATTATTATGTTCGGTGGGGGAAGCAAAAATGTGACGTTTATTAAGGAAAGTAAATCAGACGGGACAATTCAATACTATTAGCGAAAGGGATGTGACGTTAATTAAGGAAAGTAAATCAGACGGGACAATTCAATATTATCTCTCCTGCTCGCTCCGTCTTTATTCTCGCGATATTATAAGGTTCATCAGTTGTCTCTTCTGCAGCAGACCTTCAAAATTCAAATGCATAGCCCAAGAAAAACTTTTCTTTATCATTCTAAATCTTTGTTGAGTTTCAGGTTCTCAATTGTCGAACAAATGGTGGCAGGCGATTTGGGTTTCTTTTGAATCCAACCAATTTCAATCGTCTGTGCGATTTATTTGAATTTGGTTGATTCTTCTTCTTCTTCTTCTTATTCTTATGAACTGCTCGCTTGCAGGTTACTTTTGAATTAACTTCTAATTTCTTCCCGTTGTGCGATACTGGTGAAAATTTTATGCCTACTGTGTTTTGTCTGAGTTTGAATTGGTGTTTACTGCTTTCATTATCACGAATCAGAACCTCTATGATTATTGTCTTGATTATATTTTACATCATCCAGTTTCGTATGATTTATTCTCATTTATAGAAACTCTTGCTGCAATTAAAATCTCTCCTTGAACTTTTTTTATTTTTTATTTTCAAAACTTTCAGATCAATTTATAGCCATTTAAAAGTCTTTTTTTATTTTTTATTTTCAAAACTTTCAGATCAAATTTTTTTTTTTTGGCAGAAACTATTTCAATGATGGTTAGTAATGCAGATGTGCCTGTAGTTAGGAATATCAGTGAGATGGATCAGGATAGCTATGGCCGTATCCTATGGCCGACTGGGTTTATCTCACATCACCATTGCTGGTTCATTAATGTACGGTCTTAAAGAGGTGGAAAAAAAAACAAAAAATCTACAGTTCTATTCATTTGCTTTGGCTGTTCTGTATTGCTCATTTTTCTTAGTTTTGTTCCTACAACATATTGTGCTTTTGAATGAAGTGGTTTTATTGCAGGCTAATCTGAAGAAACTTGAGATTTGAGAACGAATTGTTTGCCAGTCAAGCTCAAACTTGAATGATTGATTGAGTGATTGCTGAGATTGTCTTAAAACTGTTTCATTTGTTTGTACAAATGCAAACCAATAGCAACTATATCACCATGCAACATTTAGATTTTGCTTAGATTTTCTAGATTGGAGGCAAAAATGGGTATGTGAAAATATAATTTTTTAATCAAAATACAAATGTCAGCAAGAGCTGAAAATCAATGCTTTAAAGATGCAAACACTCTTGATATATTGGTTTTGACTATTTTTCATCGTTGAGTGGATTTGGATTTTGGCAGGTAGAGGTATGGCTTCAGACATTTGCTCCTGGCATTCATACACCAATTCATAGGCGCTCGTGTGAGGAAATATTTGTTGTTCTCAAAGGAGTGAACTCTTTATCTTGCCTCTAATTTGCATAAAAATTATCCCGGCAGTCCTCAGGAGTTTCCTATTTTCCCGAACAGCACGTTTCACATCCCTCTCAATGATGCTCATCAGGTAATTTGGGCGCCTTCTCATGGTCTCTTGTTTCGGTTGGGATTAATAAAGTAATATGTTTGTCTAGTTAAACCAGCATGGATACTTCTGTTAGTGATTAATCCTAAGGATTAAAACGAACGGCTGAAAATATACTGCTTCATGTATTGTTTTGCAATTTTTGAATGGGACGTTATGTGGTGAAGCTTTGTCTGCTGTGGGTAACATCACCTGTATAGAAGTTCATTTTCTTGATCTTAAAGTATAATTTGCACATATGATTGATGAGAGAGATTTATTGATCAACTTATTTTGCTTTACTTTTTTGTCGACTAATACTTGATCAGATAGCTCTTTACTTCCTTAATTCCCGTGGAATAACGACCAAGAACTTCGAAATTTATTGTTGTAAATAATTAAATACTAAATTGCTTTCCATGTTAGTTTGCTGTCAAAATAGCAATTGAAGCATGGACGAAGATCTCAATTGTCGAACAAATGGGGGCCATTTGGATCTCTTTTGAATCCAACGACGAAAAGCCTTTCATGTCTGTGCGATTTGGGTATTCTGAATCCAATTTCAAATTGGTTGATTCTTCTTCTTATTCTTTTGAACTGCTCGCAGGTTACTTTTGAATTAACTTCTAATTTCTTCCCGTTGTGCGATAATTTGAATGGTGAAAATTTTATGCCTATTGTGTTTGTCTGAGTTTGAATTGGTGCTTACTGCTTTAATTATCACGAATCAAAACCTCTATGATTATTGTCTTGATTATATTTTACATCATCCAGTTTCGTATGATTTATTCTCATTTTTAGAAACTTTTGCTGCAATTAAAATCTCTCCTTGCATTTTTTTATTTTCAAAACTTTCAGATCAATCTATAGCCATTTGAAAGTCTTTTTTTTAAGCAGAAACTATTTCAATGATGGTTAGGTATGGAGGATGACTTGGTTAGGACTTTGGGTTTGATTTCACCATCTATTTGATATTTTTTGTTTGCCTTCATGTTCATAATGTTCTACAATTGATTTATTTTTTCCTTTTTCCTTTTAAAGCTGGCCTAATTTTCCCATATCATTTTGAACTAGACCTTTTGTTCCATTCTCCTATGCTCAATCCGGTTCACTGGATTTCTTTGCCCTTACCAATGATCTATTTTCTTATAAGTTTGATCCTTTGTTCCATTTTCTCTTCTTCTCAATATGGTTCCTCGAATCTTTTTCCCCTACCTTGGGGGAAGACTTGGTTTAGGCTTTGAGTTCGATGGCGCTACTATATGTGGCTAAGGGGGTTTGGGCATTAGATCATATTTTTGTCTATTTTTGACGGTTTTGTACTTCGGTAAATCCCACCTCTGTATGTAATTTAGATTTGTACATACTCTTCCTTCTGTTTTTTCTTTGTTTTTAGGTGGGTGACATTTGAGGGGAAATTGGGGAGCATTATTATTATTAAAGGCTTCATGACATCACAACTTTTGCATGTTGTAGGTACCTCACATCTTTTGCATGATATTGAGTAGGTTTGGGTAGGTTTGAGGTTTATAAAAAGCCCACTCTTCTAGAACCTCAAAAATAAAATGAGAAATATGATATAAATAATTTATTTTATGGAGTGTAGAGTACACTGATTAAGAGAAATATGATATAAATAATTTATTTGTGTAATAACCAGCAAAAATGTCCCATGTGGTTCTCTCAACCGGTTGTGACCAAGTTCATAATGTGACATGAGCCACGCATTTTTTGTGATTTTAGTGTTTTTTTTTTTGTTGTCATTTTGTGTCACCCATAAACGTAGCTAAGAACAAAAACCCCTTTCCGCCATTTAGAGCAACTTTAGTGGTTAACCTCACTCTTTAATCTTAAAAATTTTAAAAAATATAATAAATTAAATCAAGTGTCTAAAAGTGTGGCAGGTGTGCGCCATGACACCCAACACATGATTTGAAGGGCGTTTCCAACATTCATATAGAGCTTTTCTCTCAAACAGTGTATTACAACTCCATCAAATAAATTATTTATATCATATTTCTCATTTTATTTTTGAGGTTTAGAAGAGTGGGCTTTTTATAAACCTCAAACTATTTAATAACATGCAAAAGTTGTGAGGGTTGTGAAGCCTCTAATCATGCTCCCTAATTTCCTCCAAATGTCACCCACCTGAAAACAAAGAAAAAGGCAAAAGAAAGAGAATGTACAAATCCAGATTACAGGAGTTCTGCCGGCGCTGTAGGTGGGAGTTACCGAGTACAATACCCTCAAGCATGGCCCTGACCACATGCCCGGCTTCACCGCCACCCTTTCTGTGCACGACCAGATCTTTGGGACACCGGCACAATGTAAGTCCACTAAGGAAGCACAGAATACCGCTGCTGGAGTTGCGTTCGAGCACTTCAACGAACCAGTGCTGTCGCAAGTTCGCCATATGATAGATTCCAATGATAACATATATAAAGGTACTGTAATTTTAATTGTGTTTTTCTTATTATTTGAGACAAACAACTTTGCTGATTCAGGATATCCATAACATTTGCATGTTTGATGATTAAGAAACATTGTACATATGATTCAGATAAATAAAATAGGTAGTTGTTGAAACTTATGTTGGGTATTTGCAAGATTTCAATACATATATGACCTGGAAGAGTTGATTTGGAAGTATTAACCAATGCTTCATGATCCATAATCAATGCATACCCTCAATTTATGATGTCAATAATTGTAGTGTACAACTCAATCCTTTAGCACCATTTACCATTTCTTTGCCATGTGTAAATAAACATGATCCACAAGATGCATAGCCGTAAACAAAAGAGAAGGTAGTTGCTTCTAGGACATTATTTTCTTCTTCACCCATTTTTCTCTTTTTTCTTTCATAGATACTTTGCATATGTACATGAACGAACTTCAGCAATTTGTTCAGAAGAAAAATCTTGGTCTCTCGGTGTATACTAACGAGGCTGAGGGCCCTTCCCATGCTCACTGGTTCAAGTCAAGTGTCTGTGTTAGGGGAAAATCATACGTGACGGAGGAAATTTTCTGGACATTGAAGGAAGCCGAGCAAGCGGCCGCTAAAGTAGCTTGTCAGGAGTTGTCAGTCGACGTTACTCAAGAGGTTATGTACCATTATTTGTTCATTTTTCTGTTTTTGTTTGTTTTTGTTTTTCTTTTTATTTACATGGTTGATCAATCATATATAAAATTATTTTAATCAGAATGGAGGTTTATACAAAAATTTGCTGCAACAATTTGCCCAGAAAAGGGGTCTTCTCTGCCCATTGTATGAGACGGTCCAATCGGGTGTGCCCCATTCCATATACTTCATTACTATCCATGTCTTTCAGTCCTAAAGTGGATCGACTCCTTCGACAGCATTCTAGATGCTCTATTATTATCTATTCCCATTTTTGTTCTTTTCTTTCTTGCTCTGACCTTGTTTTGGGTAATGCAGTTCAACTATCTATTGAGAGAATTTCCAGCTATAAATGGTTGGTCGCATGTCCATGGTCGGTACTTTATGATGCTGGTGTCTTTCTTACAATGTAGATGGTGAATTTCCTTTGAGGGCAACTAAATTCTAAGCTTGAATGGGCAACAAGGTAAAACTTGGTGATGGTTGACTCTTAATGGTCTGACAGTGTTGGTATATGATCATGTTATAATATGTATACTCATTTAATTACCACACCTTTTCGATCTTTAATGCTTTACCCATGTGATTTCCATTAGTTAATATTGCATCGTTGTGGATGGACCCACTTCTTTGTCCTATCTATTTAATTCTCTCGGTGTTTTTAGTTTGCTTGTTGCCAATAACCATAAATTTGAGCATTATAAGTGAGCAGGCTTGGGTTATCCTTTGAGTTAGATTGTGTAATGTTATTGTTGCTAAGAGTTTAGGGGCTCTTAGGTTTTTTGTTATCTTGTCTACTTGCAGTTTCTTGTGATGACATAGCTTGTTTATAATAATAATAATAATAATAATAATAACAACAACAACAACTTGTTCACCAACTTTTCAGTGTAAATTTCAAGTAATTAATTTTCTTTAGGTTTTCCTATCTATTGGTTGAGAGTAATGCGACTTCGGTTGGTCATGCTGAGCCTATTTGTAATATTTTTGGTGTTTAACTCCAGAATATGTTGCATGTTGCATTTTCTGGCATGTTTGATCTTATGGGCACTTGGTCGGATTTTAGATATTTCAATCTATCGTACAGTGTTACTACCCACCCGGTTTAACATTTCCTAATTAGTATCTCCGAGAAGTAACGAATATTGGGATGTGTATGAATCTATACCATCTAATAGACTTATTTGATTTTCTATAAATGCCAGGTTACTTTCGTTAACAAAAAAATTGAGGTCTTTTTTGTTATTTTTGTTCCACATGTTGTATATGTATGTTATATAAAAACCACATTCTATTTGGCGTGAAATTAAGCTTTCTTTTTTGTACCATTTATATTCAAAGTTCCAATTTGAACTGATTGTGGTGGTTATTTTAAGCTTTTATTGCACAACTTGCAAGCTTTTGAGGTGAAAGTTTTTCCCATAATTTGTTTAGAATATGGTAGGTTCTTGTTGACACCTTCCAATGACTTCTGCATCTTCAATTTATGTTTGTTATCTGTTGGGTGATTTTAAAGTTCTTTTTCTTTTTGAGTTGATTCTTTTGTTCCTTTTTTGTGTGCTCCAAATACTGTTCCTTATATTTATTTGTTGTACCTTGGTGGACTACTTGGTTTATAGGATTTGCATTTGATTGTGCTACCTATTTGTGGCTGTGGGGTTTGGACACTTGATAAGAGCTAGGTGTTCTTTATATATTAATATTTTGTAATAATAACTTCTTTATCCTGGGCTGATAACTTCATGCTTTTGTTCTCTTTCTCGTGAACTTTGTACGCGAGACTCATCTCTCATGTGCTTTTTACATGTTTCCTATAATTTATCTGGCCTTCTATTTGTGGGAGACATGGTTTAAATTTGAGACTTTAAGTAGTTTGTGAATATTATTTCTTGTTAACATTCTGCATTACTTATCCATGTGATTTCAGTTCTAAAGAGGATCGACTCCTTCGACAACTTTTTGATACTTAATTATCTATGCTCGTTATTCATTTATTTATTTTATTTCTTACACACTCATTGTTGTGGCCAATTTAGTTCAGCTATGTATTGAAAGTATTTAGCTATAAATGGTTGGTCGCGTGTCCACGATTGGTACTCTATTATGTTGTTGGTTGTTTCCTTTATGATCTGACAGTATTGGTATAAGAATGTGTTAAATCTCTATACTTGTTTAATTATCACAACACATATTTTCTTGGTCTTTTGACTTTTAACATTTATTATTCCCTGTGTCTTTCCCACTGAATATGGTTCCTCTTTTATATTCTGGCCCTTGGTGGCGAACTTGGTTCGGCCTTAGAGTTATATATGCAATGCTATTGTTGCCGAGAGTTTAGGGACTTCCTTAGGTTTTTTGTTTTCTCTGTCTACTTGCATTTTCTTGCGATGACCTAACCTGTTTCATATTTTTGGATCATGATATATTCATTTCCAATCTATTTCCACTTGAATTGATATTCGATTCCGGTCTTATTTGAGAGCTTTTGTGTCCGCAGGAATCCACTTCATTTTATTCTTGTTTATATCAATGTGTGTTTATTCTTGTGTTCTAACTCAATTAAATTTCAAGTGATGAATTTGTTTAGATATTTATGTTTATAGGTAGTGTCTTGTCCATTGGTGGAGAGTAATGTGACTTTGGTTGGTCATGCTGAGCCTGTTTGTACTATGTTTAGTGTTTACCTCGGAAAAAAATGCTGCATGTCGCATTTTTCTGCTGTGATTTTGCTTCTCACTATCGTGCATTTCATGGTTTGATTGATCTTATTTGCACTTGGCTGAACTTTAGTTTTTTCAATCTATTTTTACATTTCTTGTCACTACCCACCCGTGTAACTTTTCTTCTATAAGTCTTGTTTTTTTTTTTTTAATTTTAATCTATATATTAATATTGTCCTATCATTTACCTAATTTTTCTCTTACGCTTCTAAATTTGATATTTTGTTCCATGCTCCTGTGTGCTCGCTCTCAGTAATGTTCATTGAATCTCTTTTGCTCTCAATGCGGTTCCTCGAATCTCATTTCTCTACCTTGGTGACCACTTGGTGTGCGTTTTGGATTAGACAACGACTACGAGTTTGTTAAGGTAAGAGGTTTAAGCATTTGGTCTGAATTTTGGTAGTGTATATATATTACTGTTTATGGTATTCATGTCCTACCTTATTATGAAGACTTGGTTGAGTGTTGCATACATGTCCTTTAAAACTTGTCTTTTTTATCTGTTTCCTATATAAATTACTTGACCTTCTTCGGTGGGAGACATTGTTTTGGGATTTAAATTAATGAATAATTTTCGAGTTAGGGCGTTGGGCACTTGAAGTATATTTTTACGTTTATCAATGTATTTTGAAATTTTCTTGCCACAATTTAGCTTTTTTAACAATTTGTGATAACACTTCTACACCCCAACTCGGTTCTCCTCAGCTCCTCGACCGGTTCGAGCTCTCCAACACCTGCAATGACCTCCCGGCGGTAAACCTCTGACGCTCAAGTCAGTAAGGAATAGAGGAAAGTATTTAACTGTAAGTAGTGTTAGGGTTTGTAGAGTGATTGCCTACCATCTTACCAGATGTACCTATATAAAGATGTGCCTATTTATATGCAACCTCCTAGCTTCCTTTGCACACCATGTTGCTTGTCCGTCAGATCATTTATTTCATCTTGATTTTGACACTCCACGTGTCCTCCACGAACTACTGCTTTTTTGCTTGGCCTTCCCATATTTCCCGTGCCATATCGAACCGAGCTACCCACTTTACCGAACCTAGTGTCCCCTAATTACTATCTGGCCGAGCCATCATCTACCGAACACCGAATTCAATTCATTCCTGCTCGCTAAATCGGGTCGATCTCGTCCGGTTTCATCCGGCGTCACCAAGTCATTCTTATGTGCTACATCATGGCGTCACCAAGTCATCCTTATGTGCTACATTATGGCGTCACCAAGTCATCCTTATGTGTTACATCATCTAGCCCCCCATTATCAAACGAGCTACAGCCCTCTAAATAGACTTGTTTGATAATAGTCAAATAATAATGATGTATGGCCCCTCCCAATTCGGCTCTAATTTCCCAACATGCTTCAGTACATCCGCTCTCCTCCAAACAGGATCACCGACTTGGAACTGCCCCTTCACCTTCTTGGCATGGGCTAGGCACCGAACATGTACCCGCGTGTCGACCTGCTCGGTTTTGACCGAGCAGGTGCCCAAGTGTCACCTGCTCGGTATATGGGCACACTGAACATGTACCCGCACATCAACCGTCGCGATCTTGACCGATCAGATGCTCGAGTGTCATCTGCTCAGTATATGGGCGCACCGAACGTGTACCCGCGTGTCAACCTGCTTGATTTTGACTGAGCAGATGCTCAAGTGTCACCTGCTCGGTATATGGGCGCACTGAACATGTACCTGCACATCAAACCGTCGCGATATTGACCGAGTAGATGCCCGAGTGTCATCTGCTCGAGTGTCATCTACTCGGTATATAGGTGCACCGAACATGTAGCCGCACATCAACCGTCGCGATCTTGACCGAGCAGATGCCCAAGTGTCACTGTTCGGTATATGGGCGCACCAAACGTGTACCCTCGTGTCAACCTGCTCGCTTTTGATCGAGCAGATGCCCAAGTGTCACATGCTCGGTATATGGGCGCACTGAACATGTACCCGCACATCAACCGTCGCGATCTTGACCGAGCAGATGCCCGAGTGTCATCTGCTAGGTATTGGGGCCCACCGAACATGTACCCGCGCATCAACCGTCGCGATCTTGACCGAGCAGATGACACTCTCGAGTGTCACCTGCTAGGTATTTGGGCGCACCAAACATGTACCCGCGCATCAACCGTCGCGATCTTGACCGAGCAGATGCCCGAGTGTCATCTGCTCGGTATATGGGCGCACTGAACCTGTACCCGCGTATCAACCTGCTCGGTTTTGACCGAGCAGATGTCCAAGTGTCACCTGCTCGGTATATGCTTAAGAAAACACCCTTTCACCCGCATCCAAGCTCACAAGAGCTCGGTTTTAAGTTGTCACGCTTTTTGAACAGCACCAGAGCTCATAAGAGTCTGGCCTTAACACCCTTTGAACAACACCCGAGCTCATAAGAGCCCGACCTTAAGCCGTCACACCCTTTGAACATCACCCGAACTTATAAGAGTTCGGCCTTAAGCCGTCACCTCCTTTTAACAGCATCCGAACTCATAAGA